AAATCGAGTCAGTCTTCTGATTGCCCGAACACACAAAGACAAGCCCAGGCCCCACAAAGCGAGCGGGCCAGACAAAGGTCCAACGAATGCGGGAAGTCGTCAGCGAGCGACTCCTCAGCTTGATGAGCGGCGATTCATTTCCGCTCATCACTTCTAAATACAAATTTAATATGCTTTATATGCAACATATATATAGACACACATAACATATATGGACTACGTGTGTGTCCCCTGCTCCTGTCCTGTAGTTCTCATTTCTGGTTCTCGGGGCCTGGTCGCAAATTTGCGCAGTGAACTGTAACCGAAAGTTAATTAGCTCAACGAAATCGTCGCAGTTGCAGTCGCATCCCAGTCGAGGGGACTCTATGTGACGAATTCTCAGTGTCTCTTCAAAAGGCAAAACATGTAAAGTTTGAGTGTATCAGAAACATTGACGAACCGTGTTATAAGGGTCGACTGGTTGCTTAGATAGCGACGCAGCTAAAAAGGAAATCTTCATGTCGGTCTCGTTTGTGAGAGAAAAAAAAGGGTTTGACTTTGCTGAGAACACAAAATGGAACTATCGACGAGGAGCTCTGCCCGTAGATAGATAGAGATAAGCCAAGAAAACAAACTGCAAAACACTTGGGAGTGAAAAGTAATTTATTTCAGGAAACAATTACAATTATAAAAGTCAAAGGTAATTTATTTAAAATAGTTAAAGATTATACTAAACGAAAAAAAAAACGGCCTAATGAGAAAATACCTATAAAAAAGTCTGATTAGTTAAATCTGACAGAATATCGATGCTAATTTTTGAAAATGAGTGTAACTTGCAGAGTATACAAATGCTACAATGCTATTGACATCAATTCTATAAACACTCTTTCGCTGCTACACAACACTACAATTGCAAAGTTCAAGTCTGTTCTTTAATGGAATAGCTTTTACGGCTGCACATTTGTTCCATTTTCTAAGCTCTGCTGACAGCCTGAAATATTTGGGATACTTTAACAACAACTTTTTACTAATTAAGCGCCCCACACGCAACAACAACCAAAATAGAACTGTAGAAAACTTCAAGTTAGGGCCACGAAAAAAAAATAAAAAAAGAAGAAATGTGCCACCATATAAAAAACAGCGGAGGCAACAACAAGAGCAAAGCTGGCGCCAAGTCATTACATGAAAAAATTCTCAACTACATGCCAAGGCACACACACACATAGCTACAGTGGCTCTTTTTATGAGCCGCAACACTTGAAAAATTTTTCACAAGTACACGACGACGCTGACGCTGACGTAGGCGCTGACGTCGACCGCAAGAAGCAGCAGATATAATTTTCCTTTGCTGCATTTTTACAACTTAACACACAGAAGAAAATAAAGCAGCATAAAAACCTGGCAAACAATAAAAACAAGAATAAAACTAAAAAAAAAAAAAAGAGAAGACAATAACAACAAGCAGCAAGAAAATAAAGGCAAGCAGCCAGGGTAGGCGGCGGGGGCGTGGCAGCTATTTGGCTGCCCCGAAAATGTTTTCCTTCTGTTTCATTTCCCTGGCCATGCACGACTGCTGCCGCCAGCGCCGTAGGGGCAAAAGTGTCTATGTGTGTGTGTGTATCTGTGTGTGGAGCAGGGAAGCGGGCGCTGCACAAATTGTAGAAACTGTGGCACCTGTGCGTTGTATCTGCGGCCGCGCATCTGTATCTTTGTATCTTTGCCGACGAGCCAAACAAATAAACTGGCGGCCAAGTTATGACAGTCAGCAGCGGCCGCAATGTCGACGCGTCGGCCGCAGGAAACATTATTCTTAGTTAGATGCTAATTAATTAAAGAAGCAGAACCCGTAACATACACACACACACACACACACACAGACCAACAGCCCAGGGGCCATTCTTCGGTGGCAAATATGTGGGCAGATACGACAGCACAAGACGTTGTCGAAGCACCGCTGCATGACATACTCTCAGTGCATGATGAGCATAAATTTTCCCTATGTGTCTCGTTGTGGGAGGATTCGACGCAGGAAACGTCGGATTGACCGCAAAAGAGAAGAGATGTGGGAGGCTGCAGTAGCAGGAGCTAAGAATAGCAATGGGCATGAAATATAACAGGAATCGGAATAACAAGAATTTAAACCACTTATAATTTGACAGAGCTGTAAACATGGGGCTTTTGAAAAGATAAAACTGGGAATTACTTTTATTTTAAAAGACTAGACATATTTAGAATATTGAATTATTTCAATTAAAAATTGAGCCACAATGTTGTATATAAAATAATTCTATGCCAACTATTCCAATATGCAATAATAATCTAAATCTATAAAATTAATTTAGTTTAATATTATGTTTTAATTTTTAAATATTTTTGGAAGACAAAAATGGTTATCAAACATTATAACTTTGTTATGAAATTTGTAACGCATAGGAGGAGACATATCCGACCCCAAAAAGTATATATATTCTAGATCAGCATCAACAACCGAGTCCGGCTGTCTGTTTCTATGGGAAGTAGTCGCTCAGTTTTAAAGCATCTATCATATTGAAACATTATATCATATAGCTGGCATTAGATCAACCGGTCTAAAAGTAGATTATTGTATAGTACATTATTCTGTTTTGCAAGATATTTTGATCAAACTGCATTTACGAGCTTTACTATTTGCACATATCTGCAAACCCTTAAGGCAAATGTCTAAATATGCGTTTAATCTTTGGAATGCCAAAGATATCCCTACTTTCTCGTTTTTATTACTATCGTTATTTAGAAATGCATTTTTTATTACAAAACGAGTTTAGCCAGAGCAACTGGCCTATTGGAATACATTCTTCATACAAGAGTCAATTTATTACAATTTTACTCCTTTACTTTATTCCAATATTCCAATAGAATTTATTTAGATTTTAAATCGCTAAATGTAGATTTCAATAACAATATATTTAGTTTACTCAGCATCAACTAAATATATATTTTTGATTGAAGTTCGCTTTCTTTGCAAGAATGTCGCAAAGATTTCGTAGCTTGGCAAATCTATAATGTATTAGGCAACGCCATTCAAGTATCTGTCTCTATCGGCAACTCGTACAATGTCCAGTAAAAAAGCAACAAAATAACAAACAAGATAGCGCCAACTTTTATCATAATGCTAATAAAATGAATCGACCACAAGAAAAAACAACAACAACAACAACAATAACAACGCGAAGAAGAAAAGTTTTTCAAGATTATTATGATGATTGCGCCCCAATGGCGCCTCAGGCAGCAGCCGCTGCCCCATCTTTGAGTCGTTGCGTTGCGGCTGGCAACTTGTTTACATAAATTTTAATTGCTGTAATTATGATTTTTACACGAAATTAATTATGCATGCGCAGTAGCTGCATTAGCTATCGGATAAAGATTCAGTTTCGGATTGAGATTTAAACACGCAACAGCGTTTCAATAAAAACTAATTTGCCTGCCCAAACAGCAAAGAAATTTACGCGCATGTTGGCCAGATCTCTTTAGAATTTTAATTGCCAAACATAGTTCCACATAATTGCCTGACAGCGCAAGGAAATTATGAAATTGCAGTGGGAAACTATCTTAAGTACGCTCGCCTCGCCAGCGATGTGTGAAGTTGCCAACTCGCAGATACGTAGATACAGATAAAGATCGTGTAAAACTGTTGGCGGACCCGAAGCGTTAGAAACTGTTTGAGGAAAGACTTTTTTCTGGCTGATAAAAAAAAAATGGATTTCTAGTTTTTTGTTGTTGAATTTTGTTTTTCTTTTCTTTATGACCTGCTTTGGGGCTGGCGTTGACGGCTGCTGCTGCTGCTGCTGCTGTTTTGTGTCCATAAGATACAGCAGGTTATTTTGATTAGCCTGGCATGTTGACAGTTTGACTTTACTTAATTTGTGTTTAATTAACGTTTAGTCTGCGCACTAAATTCCACATGCCACACGGCTTGTGTGCGGCAGCCAAAAGGGGTAGATGATTGGAAGAAACGGCAGAAATAGAGGTAGCTTGGCAAGAGTTTAATAAATCATTGTTTCACATACCGTTCTACGGAATTGATAACTATTTTTATATAGCCTCGCATATAAACACTTGTAAATAGTTGCAGTGGAACTTGCACCATGAGTAATTTTTAGGCAAACAACTGAACAGAAAACATTTATGTCCACTTCTGACTTAATTCATTAAAAGAAACTGGTTTCATTTTTGCACGACTAATTGGCAAGAAATTCAAATCGACGACAAGTTTAAGCATTTGCTGCTTTTTATTTTTGTTATTCACTCATCGATGATTTAAACAATGATTTGTTTATTTATTCAGTCGCTCGATTCACTTTACCAAAAGCCTGTCATAAAAACAACATCTACGGCAAACGAGACTTTAAATGTTTTCTCTGTGCTACGCAAATTGATTTACGGAGCCACAGATTAAGTACATTGAATATTGCCAGAGCCATAAATAACATTTGATTTAATATGATATTGTGAAAATATGCATGGATGGAAAATTCAATATTCAAATAAATTACTTTTCAATCTACTCGGGAAAATATTTCTAATATAATTTAAAAATTGTTAGGGTTTGATTTGCAAAATCTCCAAAATTCATTTTATTTAAGCTAATACTGATCAAAAAAATATATAAGATAAGGTTTTATTAAAAGAGTTTTGATATATTGAACGCAGAACAGATATTTATTTAATAGAACATTTAAGTCTTCGCAAATCTACAAGTGCTCTTTTAAAGCTCTACTTTAAACTCACTTGAAACAACATTTTCTGAGTAAATATAATCAAAATTATGTGAGCGCACATTAAATTAAAAAAGCTTTCAATCTGAGTAAAATATATTTATTTAAATTTGCCATAAATTTCTCCAAGAATTTGATTAGTTAATTTATTTAAATTGAATATTTATTTATTTGAATATTCAAGCCATTCACAAATCTTAAAATATTTATTTATAGCTTTACTTTAAAGTCACTTAAAACAATATTTGGTTTTTGACTTCGACTTACCTAATTTGAAAATATTTGTCGCATCAAATGTTTTCAATTATATTGTATAGATTGTATCCTTTGCATATGTGCAGCATTGTATATGGGTTATATATATAGTTATGTATATATTCATATAATATTTTGAATAGTTAAAAAGCGTTACACAAATGCATTGAAGCGTATTTGGGGCACAGACACATGCACACAAAATTCTTAACACAATTTTTTTAAATGCAAACTAAATGCAGTCGAAGCTGTTGCAATAAATTTTATTTTATTTTTTTTGCACTGTTGCACGTAGCTCGTGTATCTTGTGGGTTGTTTTGATATGTTTAGCACTCTCGGCTGAGATACTTTTGTATTGCGGCTGCCTTAGTTACATGCCGACAGCCTTAGGCGGGGACACACTTTGCGTTTATTTATCGGATATTCGAATTTGCCTTGCTTGGCTGGCGCCGACCAGTGCACAGGTGCCGCATTTTGTTGTGGCCAGCTTTGAGATACTTTTACGCAGTATCAGTATCTGTATCTTTCACACACTCACGCGAAAACACGTAACGCGACGCGCACCGAAACTGAACTGAACTAAACTGAGCTGAGCGTTGTTGTTGCCGCCACGAGCGTTGGGATGAGACTGAAACTGGACGAGACGAGTTGCCACTGTTGCAACCACCATCGCCTTAGCGAGCGCGACCGAGTTGTTGCAACAAGCGCCGACGTTCGCTGCGTTTTCTGTTTGCTGCCGCTGCCACTGCCACTACCACTGCTGCTGCCACTGCTGCTGCTGCTGCTTCTGCCTTTCGCTTGTTGTAACGCGCCGAACGAAGGTTGACGAGCGATTGAATTGAACGAACGTTGTAAAGTTGCTCAGGAGCCGCATATCGGACGCGGACCGGCCATGTAACCGAAAAACGGCATTTGCCTTCTGTGGATCTCAAGCGGAGAGCGTCAGCGTGAAGCGAAAGAGCGGGGCATGGCCTTTAAGTAAAGAGCGAGAATTGTTTGTGGAATGAATTAAGCTGTGGATGGCAGCACTGCCGGGTAGAAATTGGCAATATTATTAACAGAGATTCTTTTAGGTTTCTGCTCTTATCTAAAAATCTAAAAATACAATACAATCATTAATTTATATATATATTTAATTTTTATTTTTTTTTATATTTCAAAACATTTATAAAGACATAGTTTTATTACTTATTTATTTTTTGGCGTTCTCTTCATTTTTAAAAATTTGACTACTAATCAAATATTTATCTTATAATCTTTGATATTTATTTTTTAGTTGTTTTTTTTGTTATTTTGAATATTGTTTTTCAAGGTCTCGCCAAACCAATTAAAAAATTAATCTAGCTATTTAATTTTATTAAATACCATATTATATTCCACAGTTGTTATATTTATTTTTTTTTTACTTTGTTGCTCATTATCTTTTCTTATAAAATAATTAAAATTATTTTCCCTGCTTTGCCACTCTTTGGCTGTTTATTGTGGTATTCTGACCGATTCACCTGTCCAATTTAACTTTAGTTGGAATACAACTTTCGCTCTTTCGCTTTCTTGCTCTTAGACCAATTAACTCTCTTTTAGTAACAAGCAGCCCGGCAGGCGCTCTCTTGCCCGCCAGTAGCAGAGTTTTCATTGCCATTTTGTTCCAATTGTGGCACACTTTGGGAAGTGCGTGAAACAAAACAAATAGCGCTTCAAACTGTTGATTTGTAGAGCTATCCGTGAGATACATTTGGTTGAGATACATTTGGTTGAGCTGTTATCAGAGCGCTGTCTGAAATACCCATATCAAATGTGGCCTTCATTGTAATTTAAATAATAGAAATTAAATTATTATTAATTTTAATCGAATTAAGTAGTTCGTCCCGTTCACCAAGCTGTTATCAGCTGCGACCAATCTGCGGCCTGATGTATTTCCAATAATTGCCAAGCGCATTAATCAAGATATTCACACGCGCGCGCGCGCCAAACACGCTGCCAGATACAAGCTGCAGATACAGATACAAAGTGCGTAACGCGCCGCAACTTGTCATAATGAGGCATTAAAAAGCAGCTTAGTGCCGTCGAGATTTGCCGCCAGCCCGAAGCGGAGACAGCGACAGCGACAGAGACAAAAACTGAGAACAGCGAGAAACAGGGCAGAGCAGAGCTGAGCGCAGAGCAAAGAGAGCAGCGTGCGATCTCGCCATGATTTATGACGAGCCGCCGTTTGTTTGCGATACAAACTCTCAGATAGAGTCTTAGCCGGCTGCGGTAGGGGATAGCAGGGGTTGCCGGGCGCGGGGTACAGCCATGGGCTGAGGAGCACTTGTTGTAGATGGTATCGTGGCGCGCTTTACGTTCCCAGTTTGATTGATTGGTCCGTGCACACACACACACACAGCTGGGCAGGCTGTGTTTGTTTTGGGTTTTGTTTTATGATATGCCCAGAACCCAGTCAAACAGTTTTTACTTTCGAATATTTCGACCAGGTGACACAGCAAAGGTAAATGCGTAAGCACAAGACTTGATCCAATCAGTTAGCTGCGAAGGGATAAGCCACTTGACCCACATTTCGCTTTTATTGAATACAGAATTATTCATAGTGCCAGATTATAGAAGAGCATTAATGAAAGAAATCGAAGTTATAAATATAATTAATAACTTTTACATTTTATTTGACTATTCTTGACTTTTGATTCTCAGTAAGTAACTTATAATGATGAACATTCAATTAATAATGAATAAAATTAATAATTTAACAACTTTGAAACCTGCGTACATAAATGGTTTTAATATGGTGTATTATATTTCAGGCGAAATAATAAATAATAATAAATAAAATAATTGCATAAAAACTCTTCTTGATGCTGATGCAGAGACCTCAAGAGTTATGTTGCATAATATACATTATATCAATTTAAAAATATATTACAATTGTGTCATTTGCATAAGAATAGTTCAAATATTTTTATACCCTTATTTAGGGAATTATAATTTTGTCATGAAATGTGTAACGCATAGAAGGGGAAAACTTCGACCCCATAAAATATATATGTATATTTTAGTCTCTCAGTTTGACAGCTTTTGTCTTGAAACTTTGCATGGGTCTGTCTTTCTGTTGCAGGCAATACATATGTCGGGCTTTACGAGCTTTACTATTCTCGCACATCTGAAAAATCGTAAGGCAAATGTCTACAAGGGTATTAAATCTTCATCATGCCGAAGATATCCTTACTCTCTCGTTTTAATTTGTATTAAATTATTCTTGCGTCAGACATATTAAAAAAGATTTAAATGTTTGGTTATTTAGATTTTTTTAATCGAATCATAAGGCATCCAAACAATGTAACCTCGATTTTGAAACTGGGGTTCATGGCTTGAATATTGTGTTGTTTTGAGCGAAGAAAGAAAATATGAAAAATAGTTATATTTTTAATGACAATTAAGATTTCCGTTTCCTGTAAACCAGTTACGTTACACTATCGTGCAGAATTTAGCCTTCTACTCCAGCTATCAGTTCTGATGGAACAAATATCGTAACTCATTTGACTGCATGTTAGTCTGCTGACTTTTAAAAGCATGTCCATCAATTTAAGCTTATGTAAACGCATCTAAAAATTGCTTAAGATATTGTCTGCCTGCACTATCAGGAGTGCAACTCGCATCATTGAGACTATCTTGACTGGATCTGGGCGCAAGCAAACAGCTAAATATGAAAATTAAACATCTATGCGTGGGGATACGAATGTCTCGAGTGATAAATTTATCGAATTGTGTAAATATTCATTCATGATAACGCGCCAGTTGTCGTCTGTCGTCGTCTGTCGTCTGTCGTGCATTTGTATATTTATTTATCCAACTCGCTGATTGCATTTTTGTGTAAATTCTTGCCACAATAATAATCAACGTCCAGGCAGCTCCTCAGAGTCGGCTCTGTGTTTGCTTATAATGCTCCTAGCAAAAGGCAAACAATGCGTCGTCGACAGCGGCGCATGCGCAACAGTTTTGGGCTGAGTTATTGAAAGAGTCGTCTGCCCCGCCCCGCCCTGCCCTGCCCTGCCCCGTCCGTCTGGCCTGTCATATATATTTTGAGCGCATTTGTTTGCCTGGCAGCTAGGCAACAGTTGCAAGTTGCAAGTTGCAAGTTGCAGTTGCCAATTGGCCCTTGGCACTTGGCACTTGGCTTGTTTGCATAAATGATAAATGGCTAATTGATAAATTTGTTATTTGCTGCATTTCTGTTTGGTTTGTCACAGTTGCAGACATTTGCCATTTCCTGGACAACAACTTGTTTGCATACTTTGCTTTATGTGCAACGAAAAATCTTGCTTTACATTTAACTTCTTATGTAAAAAGGGATTTTAAAGGCTTGTGGGAGGAAAAACCAAAATTTTCTTGCTCTTTACATTTGCACAAAATCTTGTCAATATCTATAGCTTAGAGCTCTATATGGAGAATCGTTCGATGAATGGGTTTTTGTATGACAAACTTATTTGTTTTTTAAGATATCTTTAGCAAACGCAATAACGGACTTCACCTTTCGCAAAAAGGACGTCAATACGTACCAAAGGCGACTTCCATATTATATGGCTGCTATAGGAACAATCGGTCGGAGAAGACCATGTTTCAGCAACATATCTTAAAGGGTATTTAATCTTCAACGTGCCGGATATAGCCGTACTTGTTCAATTTTAACTCAATTAATGATAAAATAAATTAATATTTTTTGGTTTTTAGTTAAAATAAAAGTTGAAATTAAAGTCGCATCTCTCTCTCTCTGTCTCTCTCTCAGATTACACTAAAGTGGCCATTAAAATATTTCACCCACTTTAATTTTTATTTTTTTAATATTAATTGGCATCTGTTTATGCTCTTGTGAGTCTCAAATTTCTCAAGCTAAAATTGTTTAAGGCTTAAACCAATTCTTAAAATCTTTTAATACAAAATTAATTTTAAAATTTAAAAGATTTTGACCAATGTGAACAACTAACTAGAAATACTAAAATACTAGCTACTAAATAATTTTCCAGCCTGCCACACTTTAAGTATCTTTAGTTATCTATGGGTCTCCTCTCTCCCCATCTCTCTCTCTCTCTCTCTCGGCCTGACTCATAAATTTAGTTTAACGCGTGCCACTCACAAAGTTTGCGACCGCACTTCGGAAACTTGCAAGTAAGTTCCCCGTCCCTTTCCCCCTTCTGGCTCTCGCACTGCCATCCGCTTACATCAAATCAATTGCCGGCCCCAGTGCGACTCCTCGATATGCGGCTCACGTACGCGTATATCAATTGTTGCTGCCAGCTCTAGGCAAATGATGGCCCAACTTGCCTGGCTGCCTGTCTGTCTGTCTGTCTGACTGTCCAATTGACTGACTGACTGACTGAGCGATTGACGGGTTGCCTGCTACACGACTTGCCTGTCTTGTATGTCCCTCTGCCTATATATAATATTGATTCTTTATGCATATCAACAGCTCTTTGTCTGCGCAACCTGTTGGCTATTTTAATGTTCATTTAAATCTAAATTTTCTTTGCTGATCAAGAAATTGAATGCAAAACAAATTAATGAAAGGCAAATGCATTTAAGAACATACAACGAAAGAGAGCCATAGTAGATAGAAGAAAAATGAGAGAGAGAGGGGAAGAATAGTCAATTGTCTGTTTGAGTTATTCGTTTGACCACTGTTGACCAAAGTTGCCAAAAAATAGCTAAATGTATTTGATAACTACTTCTCTTTCCGGCTGTCAACCTCTAAAATTAACCAAACTTAGCTAGAAAATAGCTACGTTGGCAACACTGCTGTTG